TCCATGCCAGTAGAACGTTTTCAGCCAAGGAACCCCCCCCCCTTCCCCTCAAACCTTAACAGTTTCACCACCAAAGTTACGACTCAGCAGAGTTTCTTCCTTTTTTCAAAGTTCGTGTCAGTAATCAATATGATCAGGACCATCTAGATTAAACTTTTTTTTTATCACTAAAAAGAACTTGATGCCACACTTCCTGCCAAGACTTGTATTTGTTTGAAAATTGTAAAATAGTTGCTTCATGACGAAAATTGTAATATAGCTTCTGCATTACAAACAGTAAGTGTTGGTTTACGTTTTGTGTTTGAATCTTCATGTAAGATTTGTCTCACACGTTGAACAGTTACAGGTAATTGTAAATCAGTACAAATTTTAGATGCAGTCATGTGCTGAGCAGCAGAACGACGTGCAATAGCTCGTTTAGTACAACAATTAGTTTTACATTTGCAACCACTTCCTTTATAAGGAATACAATTATTAACCACTTTTAGAGATCTTTTAGAGATTTTCCGATTAGATAAACCTGTATCTTTATATGCTTTGATTACAGCTGTTTTTTCCTTTATTAAACGCCTACTACGTCCGATTTTATATTCAAGTATCAAAAACCAAATGTTTAAAACTTTAAGGCGAGTTTCCACTCATCCGTTTTTTCACGGGGACGGGAAAGGGAAGGAAAAAATAATCACGTGGGCATGCGCAGTATAAGTTTTAATATGTCTAAAGGAAAACTACGCATGCTCACGTGATTATTTTTCCCTTTCCTATGCCGTTCCTGTAAAAAAACGGATGAGAGGAAACTCACCATTATGAGCACTGATTTCACAGTCTTTATTTAACTTACTAGTAATAATAAAAAATAAGTCACAAATGCGTATCACCAGATCAAAATATGCAAGTAAACTTAAAATAACTATTGATGAGGCTAATTCTATTTGTTATCGCAAATATCAAGTATTTTACATTTTATGGTTTTATCATATGTACCGCAACTTAATTTAGCTATATTATAATCTAAAAAGTTGTTTGTAACAATAATTATATATGTATGGATACAAAATATGCACCGCACAAATTTTCTTACAGGTTTACAAAATATTGGATTAGAACATGGTGAGGCTAATTCTATTTTCTCTACTGTATTTATATACTAGCAGTAAGCAACCCGTAATACGGGTTTTTAGTAATTAAATTCATTGCTTTCGTAAAAATAGCTTTCAGCTTTCCAATTGAACTAAAATATAAAACAAAACTTGCTTCGCTAAGTTGCTTGGAGCCTAAAAATCTGGTAACAGAAAAGTAAAAAACCTAGACCAAACATTTTTTTTATTAAAACTACTATATTTAAACAAATTAAACAAAGCTCTAAGACTTCCTACATAAGTTGATGGCAGAATCATCAAAAACAGTTTAGGAGATATTGAGCTGTAAAATCCAGCTGTAAAAAAAGTTACCTCGATAAAATTTGAAAATCTTTTTTTTTAATAACAATCGATATCTTAACCTTACCATAAAGACAGGACTCAATTTTTCATATAAAATTTCATGACTTCTTTTTAAAATCTGCCACTTTTTAAACAAACAAAACGAAAAATATTAAACATATTTTAAAAATCCTGAAAATTGTTTGCTCAAATAAACGAAAAAAATCCGGAATAAATCAGCTAAATTTTTTTAGCTAAGTTATATGTCATTTATTTTTTTTTAATTTCCTTAGATTGCGTGTGTGATGTCTAAAACACCCTTAAAAAATTATATATATTACACAAATATGTAGTTAAACGTGTATGTATGGAAAACTTTTTGGATATCCGGAAAGATTTAAAGTGTTGATAAATAGCCGAAGTTCCTGAAATATCGCAGAGCATTTAATTACACCGAATGTGATTTAAATTCACTGACAATCACAACGCAAAAGTTATTTCTTTATGTCATATACGACAGAGATACTTTTTAAAGTATTTGCATAAACTCGTTGAAGTATACGAAGTTAACTAAAAATATTTTTTATCACATATTTATTAACAATTTAACAAAAAAATGAGGCTTGTCAAATTTGTTTCTCTTCTTATCGCATACATACGTTATCCGAAAAATCACAAAAAAGAAGTTAAAACATAAAATGCTATAACTATTATATAAATGGAAGTACAGGAAAAAAAATGAAAACATAATAAAATGGAAAGGAATTAACTGTTTTTCGTTACCTGCTAGCATTTTGGTGACTCGTTTTTTAAAGAGAAAAGACTTAAAGATAAGAAATCAAATCGAAATATAAAAAATTTAATTAATAAAAAGTATAGCAAAATCTTTTTTCTCGGCTTTTTAGTGAATGACTAGAAGCAATGAGTTCCAGTAATGAAACTAACTAATAATCATTATTAACGATAGACACCAACGGGAAGCTAAGCCAGGCTGCCTATCAACACAAAACAGCAGAACAATAACGTTACAGCGATAAAGGATCTTCCATAAATTACACAACGTTAATTATTTTTTTTAATTATGCGTGGGAAATCATTTGTCAATTTGTGAGATAATTTTCATTGAACATGAATCTTATTTTAGTTTTGGGTTGAAATAAAAACTCTAGAATGGAAACTTCCCCCTCTCCCTAGCCTTCCCTTTATTGACTAAATTTAACGTTTGGTAATTTTAAGGAGGTATATACGGACACACAATAATAGCATAAACACAGCATTAGATATTTGACTTTTTCTATGATGGCTATTTAAACTTGAAATTAACATACTTTTAACACAAGAGCATATTTGCAACCAAAAAAAATGGCTGTAAATTTATAAAAAATATAAAACTGTTCAGTCAATGTTATAAGTCATGATACAACTGGCTTTCCAGTAACAAAATCCGACTTCCCAGTAACAAAAACTGGCTTCCCGGTAACAAAAATTGGTTTTTCTCAGTGTCAAAGACTGGTTTTTCCCAGTAACAAGCTTCCAAGTAATAAAAACTGACTTTCCAGCAACAAAAACCGGCTTGCCAGTATCAAAATCTGGTTTTTCCCAGTAACTGGCTTTCCAGTAACAAAAACTGGTTTTCCGGCAACAAAAACAATTAGTAAAAATTAAACGATACGTCAGCATCAGGTGCCTTAGTCATTATTTGTAAAAATGTATTGTCAAAAATCACATACACAAACACAAATTCAGTTTAACTGATTTGGTGTTATTAAAATGTATTTAAAATTGCAAATGGCATTACAAATTTTGGATTTTATGGTCCTAAATAATTTGATAACAACTGTGATTTCATATCTATTTGTATTCAATGATCCTTATATGTTTGCAACTACTCATAAGTTAAATCTTCAACTTTATAAAATGCATTAAAAAAAAAATTATTCTGCTAATTGAGATGCATGTAAAACAGTTAATGCGTTTATTAATGAAATTAATACAAAGATTGATGAAATGCAATTGCTTATAAAAAAATTTTTTATTTAATGAGTATATTAATCAAAACATGAATACCTTGTAAATAAAAACATACCTTCTAAATTATTATACATCATGAAATATTCTCATATAAGCAATTTATAAAAAAAAAGTACAATATATAAGAAACAGCAATAGTGAAGCTAATTATTTAATGAAAAAAATACATGTTTAATAAACAAAGAGAAAAAAAAAAGAAAAATTGAAATAAGACATGATTCAATAAATTACAAACCCTCTGTAGGGTATGGGTCCTGCTTTTCTTTCTCTGTAATTTAAAAATACGTCATAAGACAGATCTGAAATAAAAAACACAAATAAAAATATCAATGTATGGTATAGCGAAAAAGAATATTTAAAATTCTATTTAAATAGTTAAAATAAAATTTTAAAACTACAAATTAAGAACATTTAAAAATATAACATTACCTGTGCAATATTTTTCACCTGCCATACCTTGAATAGGATGTTTATAAACTTTAAAAAACAAACTATTAAACGTTCTTGCTCTTGAACATGCTACATATAATTGACCATGAGAGAAACATGTTTTTTTTAAATAAACACCAACTCTATTAAACGTTTGACCTTGACTTTTATTTATTTTTATAGAATATGCAAATCGGAACGGAAACTGGCGACGTTTGAGAACAAAAGGACAATTAGAATCCGACGGAGCCAACTGAATTCTAGGAACAAATACCCGTTAACTTTCAGAAACACCTGCCAAAGCCTCTGCATCAATATAGTTGTTTTGGAGAGCACAAACTTTCATTCGGGTGCCATTACATAGCCCAGCATTAAGATCTAAATTTCTAAGTAGCATAATTACACAACTAATTTTCAATTTTAAACAATGAGTAGGCATACCTGAAGGAGTTAACCTGTTCAAAAACTCAACAAGGAAATTATTTATTTTATTAAGATTGTCAGTCTCTATTTGATCACCACTTAACTAAGTTTTGAACTATTTGGACGTTCAAGCACTTCTTCATTGATTGACAATGAATCTACATTAGTGGGTGTTAAAATGACACGTTTAGCATAATCATCTTGTTGAGCATCTCCAAATATTTTTTCAACAATTGATTCGTTTTCTCTAATAATGCACTGTTGCGGTATTTCAATACATCTTTTAAAAGGATCTTCCTCCTTGACAGGTATTGTTCCACTACCAAGTTTTAACAGCCATTCGGAAAAGTCTCCTTCTCCATCACATACTCTCATATTTTCAGTTAATGTAAACTTCTGCACTCATTCCCACAGTAAAGAACATTTGATACATGATTCTACAACTTCAGCTGGTCGTCCTCTTTTCACAACAGGCAATATTTGCCTAAAGTCACCACCAAAAAGAATGTTTTTTTCACCAAAGGAAAGTTGTTGTTGCTAACGTCTTTTAACAACCAATTGATTGCATTTAAAGCGTGTTTGGGAATAATGAATATCTCGTCAAGCATAAACAAAATAAATTGCCTTAAAAATTGTCCCTGAATAGAGTAAGGAGTCACATTATATGTGCTGTAATCCAGTATTGGGACAGGAAATTTATAAGCCGTGCAGCGTAGTTCCATTTGTAAGAAGAGTTGCTGCTATGCCAGTCCATGCAGCTGTAGCAGATTTAACACCCCTACTGCTCGTTTGAGCAATCAAATAATTATTTGTAAAAGTTTTGCCACTACCGGCTGGTCCATCCATAAAAAACAATCTTAAATGTTGATTTTCTACACTTGTTTGCTCGTTCAATGCAGCAAGGACATCATTACTTTCAATTAATTGATTGATATTGAGAAGCTGTCTCATTCTATTAGCTTCGTCAATTGATTGCTGAACATTATCATTTAAATTTTCTAGATTGAAATTTATGAATTCATCAACAACAGGCAAATTATAATCAGAAAGCGTTTTACCGCTTTGATTAATATTCTTTTCGATTTGGCAAAGAGTAGTTTGTTCAGCTAATATAAATGGAACTTGGCGATGAATAAATCCCCTATCTTAAAAGCTTTATATGTATTCCGAAAATGCAAAGGGTGGTCAGGTTCACAAAAGGTTAAAATAATTGAAAACAGCTGTCTAATTTGCTTAGGCATTCGCGTTAAAACTACCTCTGCCATTCAGAGTCATCTTGCAGCAAACCTTTTAAAACACATGCTTTACGAAAGGTTTCAAGAACTAATCCACTAACAGTATGCAAATCCTCCCAAGATTTTGCTCCTTTTACCTGCAAAAGTAACAATCTAAGAAAAAATAATTCTCCTGTTGGACTAACTTTATACATTCTTACAATCACCTTATTTCCACCTCTTTGCCTAACCTTCCATTTAGAATGTTTATCATCAAATACAAAGTGATATAGAATATTTACATATGAATAGCGATGCGCTCCTTTATTTTCAGAATTTAATTTAAACCATGCCGTATGGTGTGTATCACGTTGAGCAGCACGATCTAAAGCCACTTGTTCTTCTCCTTCTCTAAAATACACAATCTGATTCTCAGGAAGATGAACCTTAAAACGGGTAATAGTGTGTGACATATAACTTATGGGATACTCAAATATTTGCTAAAGTGCTTCAGGCGCACTAACATAACGACAATATAAAAAAGTGTTTTCTTCATCGTTGTTAACCTGTTCATTTATCAAAACATTGGCACAATCAAGCCGTTTGTATATATATTTGTACAAATATTTAACAGCCTTTACAGAGATGCAAGCTTCAACATTAATGTGGGCTTGATATTTCTTAGATAACCAAGGATTGTAAGGTACCACCCAACGGTTATCTACATTGTTGCCTTTAATATTGATAACCAACCCATCATCACAACGCCTTTATCGTGGATAACTATTGTGAACGGCTATTGTGTTGGCACTAAATTCTTTAGGATAATTTTTGCTGCAAACCTTATCTTTCATGCAAGGAGAATTGCTGAAATAGTTTCTTGCCATAAAATAATGAACAGAAAAATTGCCTAACAGAAAGTCTGTAATTGTAGAACTGAGATAATGTAACATGATTTCTAACCAGTGTGGCAAGCTCAGGGTTATGCACCAACTGATTATACCAACCAGTATTACCTCTTGGAAAAAATAGAGGATAAATCATAGGATCCAAGTTGGCTGACACACTTGATACAATTTTTAAAAGACGAACTTTTGGGTAAATGACAACTTCCCTGGAGGTTGGGAGAGCACCATTTTCACCAACAAACACAACAGCAACTTTATCATGTAAAGGTAGATTATAGCGACGTCTATTACCCCCTTCAAGACATTTTTACAACAGAAGCTGAGCGACCTTCTTGAGCCGCTTGACGAATTTCTTCATCTTCTATTTCAGCCATGTTTTTAAATGCAAGAGCAAATGGACTTTGTTCAGTAATTATAGTTTGCAATTGAAACATTAAATCACGTAAACAAAGATCATTTTCACGTTGTTGCATTCTAAAATTTACTGCTGCAAGTGGATCATAAATATATAGTTGAGAATATATTAGTGGAATATCTTGATCTGGCCTAAGATTACCAACACGAGGAAAAATCTGGCGACATATTTTAAAACACGTAAGCCCATGATTTATTGGTTGAACTACATTTGCTGTAAAAGAAGCAGAAGAAAGATAGGCATTATAACTTCGAATATGTTTTAAAAAATTGACATTAGCGTTATAATTAACATAACTCCTTGTGAATAAATCCTGTAAAGCTTGTGTTAATGGTGAAAGTGGAGGCAAAGCTACCTTACCATTATGCCAACATAGAAAATGTGTTTCATCTAGGAATATTTTAGCACCACAGTGCTGACAAATTTGATTCATTTCACCTAAATAATTACAATCTGGAATAGCATTACTTCTTGCTATAAAATACATTCGTCCTTGTCCAACAGATCTTCCTACATTTTGGCGACGATTAACTTCGCCTCAATTTAGCCTATTTCTTTCATTTTGTAAATGATTAGTTTCATATCGCCTAAGTATATTCCTTTCATTTCCTCTACGATTACTTTCAACACGCCTTATAGCACTAAAATAATCTTGTAAATACGTAACTTCATCTAGCTTATCATCCATTTCAATGTCATCGTTTTCATTAAACATATTTATCAAAGTAACACTTATTATTTCTTTTTTTTTTTACTACTCTAAAGTTAACAATATAATAAAAAAACTTAATAAATAACTAAAAAAATCTTACTCAAAAAAATAAAAAATAAAATTTTTAAAACAAATATATATAAAGAAACCAAATAAATGCAAAATAAAATTAAATTGCCATCATCAAAAGTAATACAGGCTTCTTATATTAATTTAATAAAAGTTAAGAAAAGCCTGCAACTATATTAGCAAAGACTTATAAAAAAAAGTTAAAATTTATTTTGTTTCTGATAAAAAAAAAATTGAAACAAACAAATATTCTTTTTTTTTAGAAACAGTAAAGTGTTTTATTTATATATATATATATATATATATATATATATATATATATATATATATAAATATATATATATATATATATATATATATATATATATATATATATATATATATATATATATATATATATATATATATATATATATATATATATATATATATGTATATATATATATATATATATATATATATATATATATAAATATAAAAATAACTTGCTCATGTATAAATATAAGAATAACTTGCTGCCAAAATATTAAAACCTATACCAAGGAACCTGAGAATAAGGGGGTACAATCTTATATATATATATATAATATATATATATATATATATATTTATATATATATATATATATATATATATATATATATATATATGTATGTATATATATATATATATATATATATATATATATATATATATATATATATATATATATATATATAAATATAAGAATAACTTGCTCATGTATAAATATAAGAATAACTTGCTGCCAAAATATTAAAACCTATACCAAGGAACCTAAGAATAAGGGGGTGCAATCTTATATATATATATAATATATATATATATATATATATATATATATATATATATATATATATATATATATATATATTATATATATATATATATATATTTGTTTCAAGATTGCATATATAATATATATATATATATATGCAATCTTATATACATATATAATATGTATATATATATATATATATATATATATATATATATATATATATATATATATATATTTATATATATATATATATATATATATATATATATATATATATATATACATATATATATATATATATATATATATATATATATATATATATATATATATATATATATATATATATATATATTGAACTATTTATTAGTAAAAACATATGAAAAACAAAATTTTCTTTATAATATATATATAGTATATTTTAAAATAAACCTCTACAATTTCCTTGGTACAACAACTCGATTATGATTAATAAAAACTCTGTAAACATGAATTTTCTAATAATCAAAATAATAATAAATTATAAACAATTATAAATAACAAAACGTTGTCATGGCTTTTATTCTAATTATTAAAAGCATGTGAAAGCATGAAACTACCCATAAATTTCTATTAACGCTAGACACCATCAAAGAATTATAGTAATCTATATTTTCAATATTAACATCTATATCACGAAGGCATTCGACACTGCTGATCACGGAATTTTGCTTTCAAAGCTAATGCATTACGGCATTAAAAGCCTAACATATAAGTGGGTTAAGAGTTATTTTTTTAATAGAAAACAGTTTGTTGTCCTGGAGGAGTCAGGAGCTCTTGATATTGTTTGCGGAGTCCTACAGGGATCAGTTTTAGGACCTTTATTATTTTTAATATATATCAATAATATGAACAAAGCTTCTTATAAAATATCGTCAATTATGTATGCAGACAATACAAATTTACTCTACAACAATTCTAATGTAAAAATATTGTTCAAAACAATGAACACTGAACTAGGAAGCTTTAACCAATGGTTTATAGCTGATAAGTTATCATTAAATTGTGAAAAAACAAGTTATACTCTCTTCCGTAAAATAAGACAATCAACTTTTCTTCCATCAAAGTTGCCAAAACTGTCAATCAATAAAAATGAAATAAATCGAGTAAATAACTCAAAGTTTTTGTAAGTAATATTTGATGAGAACCTATCATGGAAAAATCATATTAGTCTCATTGAAGCAAAAATATCGTCTGCTATAAGTGTATTATATAAATAGGGCCTTTCTTGATTATAAATCACGCAAAATGCTTTACTTCAGTCTTGTTCATTGTCATCTCTTCTATGCTAATAGTGTTTGGGCTAACACACACAAAACTAAGTTATTAAGATTACAGAGCCTACAAAACCACGCATGTAAAGCAGTTAACTAATTAAAGAGATTAGAAAACCCTTCCCCTGTAATGAAATACATGAATGTTTTAAATATATCAAAACTTAATTCGCTTCAAATATTATTATTTATGTATAAATGTAAGAATAACTTGCTGCCAAAAGTGTTTTCTGATATTTTTACATCAGCATTTTCACAAAAATACAATCTTCGGTAACAACCATAATACAATCTTCCTTAACAACCAAATAACAACCATAACTATCACTTGAACATAGTAAAATCGCAAGTGTCGAAATTCTCAATTATTAGCAAAGGCCCGTCATTATGGAATCAATTAAAAAATAACAGTATAAAAAATTTGAAAAGCGCTTTCTCTTTAAAACGACAAATGAAACAACATCTTCTTAATTTCTGACATATATGTAAGTATGTTTGTATATGTGTGTGTTTTATGGGTGTATGTATATATGAGTATATATGTATTTATGAGTTTCTCTTTACTCTTCACGTAGTATTTAAAAGATAAAATATTTGTTGTAAATTTTCTAAAGCCATGTGGGTTTTAAATGATATTGTAAAGAGGCTCTATAAAAAGATTGTGGTGACACCAGTCATCCTTATCTTCTTTGAGCCCTTGTCTGTTTTATATATATTCTTTGTGTAATGTAAAAATTTAATTGTAACTTTATTATTTTATTTTTATATAAACAGCGAAATACATTTTTTTTTTTAAAAAAAAAAAAAAAAAAAAGCTTTAAATTTAAAAGTACAATTTAAAAAAAAATTACAATAAATTAGTTATTTATTAAAATTTTAAAAAGATATACCTATAATTTTAAGCTACTAAACATTATCTACTTAATGTCTAATTAAACGTTTAGAACTCGTGAATGAAACTACCTATTAATCATTTTTAAACAACAGTTACCAACATAAAGACAAGACAAAGATAACAACATTATGCAAAAAATTATCAAAGATAACGTTGTGTATTTTCAGTATAGTTATATTAAAGGCTAGACAACACTTAGACCTAAAGCAGTGCTTGACTGGTAAAAATGACAAATATTGCTCACATGTTTGCCAAGTCAAACCACTTTGAAAACATGGAAACAACATTATATAAACATATATACTAACTATAAAACACAATATATTTTTTTAATGTTATATAACATATAATAACACCTTATTTAACAAAAAATAATAAAAAAATATTAAGGAATAGAAAAATTAAAAAAAATTTTTTTGAATTTGTCAAAAGAGTGTTGTGTTATGCTTTATTTTAAAGTAACTGAATATGTATTTATTAAAAATTGTTAATTTAGTCCTTAAATGTTTTCATCTTTTAAAATTAAATGGTTTCATCTTTTAAAATTTTATTTATGTATTTAATATGAAAAGTTAAATAAAATAAGACTGTTATTTGTGGTCATATAAGTTTATATACATAAGTTTGCGTTTATTTTAGTCTATTTTATATTTCTCTATATCTATATGTATATTTTCTGAAAATATTCATATAGATATAGAGAAATATAAAATAGACTGAAATAAACGCAAACTTATGTATATAAACTTACATGACCACAAATAACAGTCATATTTTATTTAACTTTTCTTATTAAATACATAAATAAAATTTTATTCTCATTACTCTTTCTACAAAAAAAAAATCTCAGTCTATAAATAAGAAAATGAATTGAATTTGCTAAAAAAGCCATCAGCTCTTCTTAACTGCTCTAAAAAATAAAACAATACTTGCTTAAAATGTTCTTAAAAGACTAACGACAAAACTGAAACAGTTTTCTCAAAAAAGAAATATTGTACTAAAAAAACTATTTAACCAGTCATTTTAGTTCTAACTTCTTCTAAAAAACGAAAACAGGCTATAAATATTAGAAAAATAAAAACAACCAACAGCAAACAAACGATTATTTAAATTTTTATTATAAACAATGAACAACATCAATTTATCTTGAAAATAAATATATATCAGCTTTAATTTGCTTGCTAATCTTATGGTGGTACTAAATCTATTATTAAAATCTTGAATAATGTATTAAAAAGTTTCAAATTAGAAGTTTTCTATATAAAAAACTAAAATATACAAATTTTGAAATAATTTGTGAGTAAAATTATTTTTTAGTCTCGCTCACCCAAATCTAAAAACACATAAAAAGAAAAATACGCAGTGTGCAATATCTCAAGATAGGGTCATTTATTTGCTATAAAAATTTGCAATAACATAGGTCCCATAATGATGTAGGAGCTGTAATAGAATCATTTATTGTATGCATATAGTTTAGGAAAAAAGTTTACTCCAAACTATATCCATACATCTACTGTATGCATATAGTTTAGGAGTAAAGTTTACTCCTAAACTATATGCATACAGTAAATAATTCTAGTACAACTCCTACATGATTATGGGACCTATGCTATGGTAAAGTTTTGGAGCAAATAAATGACCCTAT